GATGACCCTCTCCTATTTAAGACCTCAAAACTACCTTTCCACCACTGAAAATCCTCTGGATTTCAGTGGTAGAAAGGTCATGCAAAACCAAGAACAAGGGCCGAAAGGGATGGCCTAAAACAAGGCCTAACAAGGCCTTGGAGGGAGGAGATGACCCCCAACCAAAAAGTGACATTAAACAAAGATCTAAAGCATAAAAAATCAGAACTTATTGTAGTTTAGAGTCAAGCTTAAAACAATAAGCAAAAGGGTCTAAAATCTTAAGCAAGAATGGGGGTTTAAAAGCAAGTTTGCTCACCCTTGAAGAACACCTTCAAGAACACTACACCAGCACCTTTCTCTGATCAAAACCAGCCCAAGAACTCTAAAACCAACTCCCTAGTACCTCAGAAACAAGAGGGTGGTGTATTGCTAGGTGTTTGTGTGCAATAGTGTGAACAAAACACCCTTTAGAGTACAAACACACACACAAATATAGAGAGAGAGGAAATATATACAGAGAGAGTGATATAGAACTTCTATATCAGATTTCAGAACCTCTAAGAAGGGAGGAGGAGCTCCCTTCTTATAGGAATCCAATTCCAAAGCTTCCTAAGCAAGTTAAAACAAGGTGCAAATCCCTCCGTACACGTGTATGGAGGATGTGAATTGTGTATGCCAGTTGTGACAGCTGGCATAAAATATCTGCATAAAGCAGATGAACAGGGCTCGGCCAGAAAACAAGGCCAATCGACCAAACAGAGTGCCGATCGACCAAAAAGAGTGCCGATCGGCCAACACTTTTGGCCGATGGCAAGAAAACAAGGCCGATGCCTTCATGCCTTGGCCGATGGGTTGAGGGGATGGCCAACAAGCCACCCTCTTCCCTCAGAAACAAAACCACAAGTCCTTGGTCCACAACCAAGCACAAAACAGACAAGTTGAGAGATCCTAAGGCAAGGCGCGCAGTCGAGACTTTCGAGAACTCAAAACGAACACAAGCATGGATGATCATCGAGTGTTCAAACGATGACGTCCAAGTCATGAGGACGGTCAAAAATGGGGTGTCTACTGATACGTCCAACATTTCTCAGTGATGCAGTGACTTTAACAAACGTAATAAATTATATGCTTTGTTTTTTCCTCAGATGCTATGTGACTTTGTGCAGCGATGCAGTGATGCATGTGACTTTTTTCCTTAGATGCAGTGATACATGTAAATTTGTGCAGTGATGCAGTGATGCATGTGACTTTCTGACTTTATAAATTATATACTTTGTCATTTTTTTCTTTAAATGCAGTGATGCATGTGACTTTGTGCAGCGCGACTTAGATGCTTTGTTTTTTCCTCACATTTTAGAACTCATCTAAGTCACATTAATACGACCACATGGCAATAATGTTGACAAACAACTATATAAAGGACTGAAGGAGCGATGGTAAACACAACCTTTCCACTCAGTTCGCCCTAGGAAACTATTGTTCATTTATTGAAAAATCAAATGGAGTATAAATTCACAACAGGGGGTAGGAATCGCAGAGGTGAGAGTTCACGACGAGGAAGAAGAACAGAGGAGGGACTCGTAGGGGGTAGGAACTTCAAAAAAGACTTTATAAATTATATACTTTGTCATTTTTTTCTTTAAATGCAGTGATGCATGTGACTTTGTGCAGCGCGACTTAGATGCTTTGTTTTTTCCTCACATTTCAGAACTCATCTAAGTCACATTAATACGACCACATGGCAATAATGTTGACAAACAACTATATAAAGGACTGAAGGAGCGATGGTAAACACACAACCTTTCCACTCAATTCGCCCTAGGAAACTATTGTTCATTTATTGAGAAAAAATCAAATGGAGTATAAATTCACAACAGGGGGTAGGAATCGCAGAGGTGAGAGTTCACGACGAGGAAGAAGAACAGAAGAGGGACTCGTAGGGGGTAGGAACTTCAAAAAAGGTGAGAATTCACGCCGAGAAAGAGGAACGGGAAGGGGAAGTGGCGATGTTGATGATGAAACACCATTTGTTTTGTTAGATGCCTCTTGTGCTTATCATGATAGGTTTGGGAAGCAACATTTTGTCATGCCCAAGTACTATCGAGATCCATGTGGTTTCGTTGAGGATCCATCTAATAATCAAACAGGACATGGTTTAGCAGACGCTAGACTTCTGAAGTGGCCCACACTATTTATAGAGCAAGTGCAAATGGAAAGATTATGTTGGGTAAATCGACTGAAGGTGCCGAAAGCACGTTCAGTTGAGATCCAAAAGGAAGATCCAGATAATGTTGATCGACTATGTGAAAGACTTTGACGTGAGATTTCTCAAATGCACTGTAGGTCAGCTCGCGATATGAAACAATCTATACTTAAGTCAGTTGCCAATAAGAATGGAACAACACCAAATGCTATGGCTATCAAGGCTATCAAGGAGGATCCTACACTTCTCTCTGACCCTGAGCTCTCAGATTGTTCGGACTCTGAGATTGCCGATTTGAGCGAGGATTAGGCGTCTATCTGTCTACTATATTATATTAGGTTATCCATAATTATGTGTTGTGTGTGTTAAAATAACTCTTTCGACAGTGAGTTTGTAAAAGGTTTGTCTAATATTTATTTATGTAACTGTTATGTTGAATGTTTCCACAAATTATTTTTGTGGGATACTTACGTTTGAACTAGTTACGTCATTCTAAAGTGTTATAAGTGTTATAGTCATACCTTTATTTTGTTTTCCTGTTCGTAGTAGTAATTAGCAAATTAGATACTTTGTATATGTTGCTTGGAGTTTTATTTAAATATTTCTTGGCAACAAATATTTAAGGGAACAACAAATATTTTTGAAAATTCTGCAAAAGTAGGCTTAGTTTGGAAAATAAATTACTATAGGGGCATAGTTTGGGAAAAGCCTTGACAAAATCTCTCTGAAACTGCGCAAAATATTCACTGGGGAGGGTGTGTGTCTGGAGGCCATTATTTTCATCTTCTTTTTTAATTTTTAATTTTTTATTTGTTGTTTTTATTTTTGTCCATCATCGATATTTTTTAAATTATATTTGAATTATATAACAAAATAAAAATTTTATTTAAAATTTTATATTTAAATAAAATTTTTAAAAATATCAGGTAAATTAAGCAAATATTTAATTCACATTTTTTCATTTTTTTTTACTTTTATATTTTTAAAATCATAAGCGGTGATTATTAATTCAATAGTAAAATCTTAATCTAATAATCTTTGATATGATATTTATGATTGCTTGTTTGTGGGTTTTTATTTATTTATTTTTATTTATTTTTATTTCACATCATTACAGTTTAAATCAGAACTCTAGTTTTAAAACTCTTAATCACTACTCTTTAGACAATTCATGCTGTTTTTTTTTTAAAAAAATTTATGTATAAATTATTTATGTAAATATCAAATTGATCTGATAATCGTACATATAATTTTATCATTTTTTTAAAAAATAATGGATGCAAAACATAAAAAATTACATAATTTATTTTTAAATATTAAAATAATAAAATTTGGTAGCTAAGATTGTTTATCAATACAATATTTTATATGAATAATTTATATATAGAGATTTACAAGATGATTGAGTGAATTATAGAATGTGGATTGAAGAGAAATAAATCAAAATAATAATAATAATAATAATAATAATAATAATAATAATAATAATAATAATAATAATCAACAGTTTAAAAGTGCAGTTACGAGCCACACTTTCTTTTAAAACCAAATTTTCTTTAAAAACGTGGTTTCTAACCACGCTTTCTTTACAAAACAGTTTTCTTTAAAAGCGTAATTTCTAACCATGCTTTCTTTACAAAACAAATTTCTCTAAAAGTGTGATTTCTAACCACGCTTTCTTAATTAAAAACGTGATTTGTAACCACGCTTTTATGATTTTATTTATTTTTCTCGCCTGGACCAGAAATATAGTGAAAGTGTGTTTTGGAATAACGCTTCAGTTTATTTTGAAAATTTCGACTAGAGTAGGCTTATTTTGAAAAATAGGTTAGTACACTACAAGAAATGTCACTTTTGGCTACCAAAATATTGGTCGCCAAAAGTCCAATGATTGGTCGCTGAAACGATTTAGCGACTAAAATATTTTGTCGCCAATCTCGTCGCTTTTACCCTGTCGGCGATAGTATTGGCGACTAAACTTTGTTTGGTCGCCGAAAGTGACTACATTTAGCTACTAAACTTAGTTTAGTCCACAAATGTTATGTTTCCGCCACTAAAACCTTTAGTTGCCAAATGAATACTTTTGGCTACTAAGTTGGTTTGGTCGGGGAAAGTGTCACTTTTAGCTACTAAATAATTGGTCGCCGAAAGTACTCATTTGGTTACGAAACATTATTTAGTCGGCAAAAGGTGATTTCGGCGACTAAAGTATTAGTCACTAATAGTGCTACCATAAAATGAGAATGACTATTATAGACCAAACATTTTGGTCACCAATAGAATACATTTTTTTAGCGACTAAGTAATTTTGGTCGTTGTTTCTTTTGCCCACTAAAAGTTTCGTAGCCAAATGCCTCTTAACATTCACTTCTTCACTTTTTGCCACCAAATGTTTTAGTCGCCAAATGATACCATTTTTTTTCCGTGACTAAAAAATTTAGTGGCCAATAGTTTCTTTCTCTCATTCTCAATTGTTTAGCTACTAATTATTTGGTTGCAAAAACTTTTAGGGGTTATGTTTTTGTTACTAAATTAGTAGTCACCAAAACATTTGATTCCGTATTTGGCTACCAAAATATTTGGTGGCCAAATATATTTAACGTGTTTTTTTTTCAAAACATTTGATTACGTATTTGGCTACCAAAATATTTGGTAGCCAAATGCTTTAACGTGTTTTTTTTTTTTTTAAAAAAAAAAAAATTCTAAACAACTTGTATCCATTATGAATACAACCTGTACCCTGTATAAACAATATAATCCATCAACACTAAATATGTTATCAAGCATTCAACAACATGCACACATTTTAGTTTCAACCATCCAAATAATTAATATTGAACGTCCAATTATATATATATAACAAATTCCATAAGAACCAAGTATAATCCAACGTCAATAATTTAATTCCATACATAATACGGGAATAACAAAATTAATTGTACACCTAGAACTTCTGTACCACAACAAAAATTATATTTTGTACTGCCCCAAAACTATTTTGTATCACGTTCTATGTTAATTTCTACCATGCCAACTTAACTGATATTTACCACACCAAAAAAATAATTTGTACAAACCACTATACATACGGATAGAGATATAAAAACAATGCCCTCCCGTACTAGTAAAAAAAAACATATCCACATTTGTATGTCCAAAAACATCTGCAAAAAAACAAAATTTTAATCATTAGTTTGGTGCGTATAGAGGCACTTCTGGACGACATATATATATTGTAATAATTTCAAACATTAAAAGACAAGGAGAGTAATAGCTATTAACTAATGAAAGACATCCAAACATGGCCCATCATGAGTTCTTGTTTTAGCTTTTTAATCTCTAAATCTATCTAAGTAAATTTTAATAGTTAAATGTAAAAGTAAATTGTGTAAGTATTATCAAATTACAGAAATTATGGGTGTACTTACCATTTCATCCAAAAATTAGCATAAATTCTTCTACAAAAGCATTGTAGGTAAATGATGAGACCCTAAACGCCTATTGAGTTTATAACAAATTTACTATCATCCAAAGAATTCTAAGTAGCATTTTTCATTTCACTATGCTGAATTAAAATCAATCCCAAAAATAAGGAAGATCCACCAGATATTGAAAAGCCATCATGACACTTCATACTACTATAAAAAAAATTGCAGCTTGTTTTTTTAACCTTCAACGACAGTAACAAAGTACCTGAAAATCAGCAAATGCAACCGGAGTTCCATATGTGCTCTGCATCTTCAATTTTATAAATCCATGGCAACTAGGAAAGGACAAAAAGAAATAGAAAATTAAATTCCATAAGCTTCACATATTAAGAAAATACATGATAAAAATAATTACTCCAAACCTTGAAAAGACTGGAATAGCTCTTGCTTTCGCAAAGAATTAGTTTCGCAGAGTTCTCATAGCTAAAATGAGGCACTTGCTTTCGCAAAGAATTAGTTTCATAGCTAAAGCTCTCATGTTGACATATTTAACAGATGGCTTGACAACCAACGACCACAGAACGAGTCCACAGAGTTCTTTAGAGTATTTGAGGGTAACTAGACCACTGTAATATGAATAAAGCGGGGTCATAACATTAATTGATAACATAATAATTTTAGAAATTTGGTTAAAAATCCCTCCACCTAGTTTTCTACTGGGATAACACCTGCTAGTGCCCAAGCGTGCAGAACATGTGCAATGTGAGCTTAGAATAACGTGTTGACCATGTGACTAACTACTAGTATTCAAAGCAACAGATCAGACAAACACCCACAACAATGTCAAGAAATTAAGGAAATGGTGAGAAGTAGGCTGAGGATGCAAAATAGAGATCAAAACCTCATCCGTATTAAAAAATCCAGTCAGAGGGGGTAAAACTAAAAGAAAAAATGTTTAGATAAAGAGCTCCTTATGGAACTTTGAACAGTTCAGGGCAGCCACCATACCAGGATCATGAATGCCCCTTGAAAATGCAGCAGATCCTTTACTTCTCTTCTCCGAGCCAGGTTTTTCATCACCTAATCAACAAGTTCACATTAAGGCCACCAACAGTTAACGAAAAGTAGAAACATAGGCAGCAGAAAAGCTGAATAAAAAAGTTCTGGTGCGCTTAGATCTCGTGTTAGATTTTGGTAGATCAATGTATAAGGTGGATCCCTTCTCCAGGTCAAACACCATTCCCTGCAGAAAAGCATTTATGACCATAATATTTAATTATGCCTTTTCCACACAACGTACAAGGTTCAACAAATGTGAGCACCATAAAATCTCTACATCAGACCAATTTTTATTTTCCATACATACAAACTCAGGGCAATCCATCGAAAGCTCTCTCATATTCCACGGGTGGAGGACCAGCCAATATCAAAGATGTTTTTCTCCCTAGGACCTAAGACAACCGTCACAATTCTTTGAAGCATATATACAAACAGATAATGAGCTTATATGCTTTGCACACATATGAAGATAAAGAACCAACACAATTGCCTTAACAACTAAACTTAACACTGCCCACAGTAGATGTAAGGTTCATATATGCAAGTTGAACATTGCCGGCATTTCATCTTATTATGCAACTGGAACAATTCATTGAAGCATATAAACAAATTTATTCTATTATTTGGATTTTCACATCATCTTTGATCTCAATTACTCATCATCTGTTTTCTTGAACAAACAATCTATCGACCATCATATCATCTTTGATCTTACTCACTCATAAACAATCTATTATTTAGTTCCTCATTTTATTTTTTATTCAAATTCTAAACGGTGGGAAGTTAATTTTTGTAATTAGAATATGTGGTTATAGTGAAAGTTGGTGGATATAAAATATAAATTTTATCCTAAAATTTCAAAAACTATATGTGACTAAGATTTATTTTAAATTCCCGTTTGCCAGTTATAGAAGACAATAGTTTAGTTTTAAAAGAACTCTTACTTTGCGAAGACCGATACGCATAGTGAGAGGTCGACCTCGTTTGTAGCTGCTGTCAAAAACTATCACATCAGCAAACCTTGCAGCGTAGTGAATCTGTATGGACAAAAACAGAATACCTCTTACAAAATTGCAACTGGCAATATAATGTTATTCATTGCATTTTGTCTAATGTTTACTACTACAATACTGGTTTTTAAATATCAAAGGATTCATCTCGACCTAAAATTCAACTTACTGAAGTATAGGACAACTTTCAACTTATAAAAGCTATCAAAATTTCAGAAGAATTGAATACTTTATCAAGAAGTAATCTGTTTACACATCTTACAACCAGACCAAAGCTTATGTCCCAATGTCTAAATATCATATTAATAATTTAAAAACATGCCATGATCCAAATAAACAGAACAAAATAACACATAACAAAGCAATTTAAAGCCAACCATTAATATTCAATATCTAATAAGGCCGAATATCATTCAAATGAAAAAGAATAAGAAGAGAATAATATTAGAACAAAGAAAGGCCCACTACGGTTCTTTGTTAGAACAAATAAATGATGTTCTTAGCAGAGCAATGTGATAAGAAAAAGGAAGGCCCACTATGGTTCTTTGTATTGTTTTAGTGTTTATTTTAATGTAAGTGATGAAATTCTCCCTACCTTGTTTTGGAAAGAAGAATGTGAGATCCATAAACCAATTTTGATAAGGATAGATTAAGTTTGTTTTCTTACCAAAAACTAACCAAAACACTACCTCCACAAGAGACAAGGGACCATGAGATCAAGTTGTTTCCAGGGTTGAAACCACTTGTTTGGGGGGCTTATAGAATTTATCCTCAAACTGAATTAGAATGAAAAAAATGAACATATCGTAGAATGAAAAAAATGAATGCCCAAACATTCAAAAAAAATGAAATTCAATCTCAAACTGAAAATGCACCTTGTTAGTATATTATTATACTTTGTATATAATATAGCATTGTTTATAGCATTACTTTAGTATTGTTTAGTAGCATTGTATCCGTTCATTGTTATCATTATGTTTGTTCACTTTCGGCTAAAGCTTTAGCCTTGCCTTTCGGTGCCTCGCGTCTCGCATGGCATGCCTCGCATCCAATATCAGTCTATAAATAGAGAGCTAAGCTCCCTTTGTAATAACACACAACAAATTCAATATACACATTTATTCACTTGCTCTCTCTCTCTATCAATTTATTTTACATGGTATCAGAGCATCACATTTAGACAGATTGTTGCATCTCTCGAACTTCTCTGTCTTCCCTATTCAATCACACCAATCTCTTCGTCTCCTCACGACGAATCCATCGCCACCAAATTCATCACCAGACGACCTTCCACGCGCCTCCACGCGCTGCCAGAAGTTAAGGCCACACTCATCCTCGTTCTCCGACGCGCTCTACGCGCCTCTGCACTGTCCCGTGCTACTGTGCGCCGCGGCCTTCTCTGCTAATGTGAGCCGCGTGTTTCTGCGTCAGCCGACATCAGCCCTACTGCTTTCGTGCGCCGCCTGCTGTCCTCTGCTATTGTGCGCCGCGCACCTCTCTGCTAACGTGCGCCGCGCACCTCTCTGCTTTTGTACGCCGCCTGCTGTCTCCTGCTATTGTGCGCCGCGCACTCTCTGCTAACGTGCGCCGACCGAATTTTGACCAGCCACTTTGACCAGCCCATTTAGTGCCTTTCTGGTCCTATTTTTTGGTCCGGTCACTCTTTTCCCACTGATTTCGACCTTCTGAATTCACTGGTACCCTCGGATTTTTCAAATTCTACCTCGAAAGTACGCTTTTGCCCTCATGGATCGTCTCGACTCCTCTAACCACCCTATTTCCGTTGTTCTTGACGGGACTAACTATGTCTTATGGGCACAAGCTATGTCTGGGTTTCTCAAAGGAAAGAAACTTTGGCGCATCATCACTGGGGATGTGTGCAAACCCATCCATACAACCACCGAATCCGCTGCCACCACAGACTCCGCTGCCAAATATATCGATCGTCTGGAGGATTGGGATAGTAAAAACTATCAGATCATTACCTGGTTTCGCAATACCTCTATCACATCTATCAGCCTTCAGTTTGGTCGGTTCCAACTTGACTCTGCTTCCTCTCCCGCCAAGGACATCTGGGATTTTTTACAAGAACGCTATCAGACTACTGGCCTTGCTCACCAATATCAGCTTCTGAGTCACCTTCACCGTATGCGCCAAGAACCAACTCAGACCATTAATGACTTCTTGTCCCAAATGTATTATGTTTGGGATCAACTCGCTCTTTCTGAACCTCCATGGGATTGTACTAAGGATGCTGCCTTGTTTACTACTTACCGTGACCAACAACGCTTGGTTCAGTTTCTCATGGCTCTCACTCCCCGATTTGAGCCCGTACGGAATTGTCATTGAAGTAGTGCCAAATTTTTATATTGTTTCAAATTTAATACAAATTTTAATAAATTATCAAATTTTGGCATTGCTATCAACAAGTAAATGTAATTTATAGAGATCCAACCATATTTGAAAAGGTGAGATGATGATTATGCTAAAAAATTATGCAAGCAATAGAGCAAAGTTACAAAATTGTAGCATTTATGTAATGACCCCAAAACATGTGTCATATTTATCAGTAATTAATTATGTGTTTATGCGAATTAATTGAAGAATATCTGTTTGAATTAGAAGAATATCTGTTGAAATGAGAAC